CCATGGACTGCTAAGAGAACAAACAGATTCAGCCTTGAGAGGGTTAAACCAGGCTGCTCCTTGGAGGCAAGGATTCTGAGACTTTGTCTGCCATACTTTGGACATGTTGTAAGGAGGGACAGGCCCTTGGAGAGGGACATAATGCTTGGGAAGGTGGAGGGACAGGGCAGGAGAGGAAAGCACTCTATGAGGTAGATTGATTAAATGACTGGGGTAATCAGGACGGGTGTATCAGAGACAATGCGACTGGCTCAGGACAGAGCAGACTTTAGGGCTGTTGTACATAGGGTCACTATGAGTCACAAGCAAGTATAAGGTACATAGCAACAACATACCCAGATATAACCAGTAACAGAATCATCAGCAGTGGTACAAATGGCATAAAACCAGACAGAGACTGGTATGAGTCAGACCATAATTGGAACTGCCATATTATACCTCATAGAGCCAGCACCAGATATGCTGGAATTTAAGAGGACATGCCTTAACTTTGTCTCAAAATCTTGATTCTGAAGGTCAGGGTGTCAGTAAGAACATTTGAGAAGATATCCTGACTGAAGAATTACTTGCTTTTTCTGACTTAGGTAGTAAGCTGTGCCTCTCCCTTATATACCCATAATTGTGAATATTGTCTGTGAGTTATGTGTAACCACTACAATACATTAGTGGAACCAGTATAAAACAGTAAGAGTCCTGAGAATAACAGTTGTTGTTGTTGTTGTTGTTGTTGTTGTTGATTGCCACTGAGTCGAGCATGACTCATAGGCAACCTATGAACAAAAGACTATTGTCATTTCTCAAAGTTCCTAGAGTTTCCAGAGGCATGTTGTTTAGGAAGAAGATGCCACTCAGGGCACGTCTGACCTAATAGGAATCAGAATTGGGCTATTGATGGGGAGTCTTCCCACTTGTGGAGTTTGTGAACGTCAGACTCGCTGTCCTATGCTTCCTGTACTCTTTTGAGAACATCTTTTGCCAGGAGGGGATGGTGGGAGAAGGCTAACTACAACTCTATATAGAGGACTGTCATTCACGCTAATTCAGACTTCAAGCACAAGAAAGGCACAAAATTTAGGATTAAAAAAAAAAGGTAGACTCTGGACATTATTAAAGAAAGAAATCAGAATGCATCAGTGCTAAGATAAATACCATAAGCTCTTTCTGGAACTCGTGATTTTCATCCTTAAAGGAGTGCTCCATAAAGACTGCAATGGCTTCTTTCTCACAAACACTGTGCACATCTAGCAACGCCTGTAGGGTGTCTGTGGGAAGCTGCAACTGCTGAGCCATCAGGTCACTGTAGTGGTCGACTGCCTTCTGTATAGCCACCAAATTCTCTTGCTGGGCTAAGGTTGTCACTGCGTTCTCCAAACAAGGCACTGTACCACTTCTGATAGCATTCACGTAGGTCTCCACCAACACCGCCAGGCCTGAATAAATCAGAATGTTTTGGGATAAATATAAAATTCTTACTCATTGTTATTAAAATTTTAACAGTGACTATTGTAAAAGACATTTACATCTTTTTCTCCTCTTCTTTTTTAACAAACCTTTTTCTCTTGAGTAATATGACCTTATATCCCCCCTACTTATTCTTACATTTATGACTCTGTATTTCTTTTCTACACAATGAGTTTTCTGGTCACAACTAACATATTTCCTGGGATTTCAAGGAGAAATACATTTTTAGCAAAATATAAAGTACCTATTAGATAAGAAAATAATTATATGATTTTTGTGCCCATAAACAAAAGTTCTGTAGTTCTACAGGTCTGTAGAAAACAAACAAATTTAAAATGAGAGCACAGTGCATTAAAGTAAGTAAGAGCCATCTTCACATAGACTGTGCATCAGCTCGTATCCCATGCTTAGGAAGACGGCCAGCTTATTGATTATATTTCATTTCATTGTTCAAGACCTATGACTTATTAGGTATTTTCTGACATGTATAATTTTACAAATTATTTTTTCTACCATGAGAAGCAATCATACCTTTAACCTTTGCATGCAAAACACGTTTGCTTTAACAGCAGTTGAGGCTAGATGCCTACAAGGTTACTTTATTGAGAGATGCTTGGTGTCATTATGCTCTCATGTGAGATGAAAATAATTAGGAAACGTGCAATATCACACATGGCATTAACACCACAAACTAAAATTACTGACTAAAAGCAAACTAAATTACTGATAAACCCACAGAATAATAAGAACTTTACACACAGAGATCTGCTTTGCTTATGAGGTGAAGATGACTTACGGTTCCCAGAGACTGTGATTCCCTGCCTCAGGGTCTTGGTCTTTGCATTATCGAAGATATAGGAACAAAACTTTTTCACTTGTATCAGGAAATCGTGGCTCAGTTTCTCTTCTGGTACTTCTTCAATATGGGTTAAAAGTTTATTGTCATTCGTGGGTCGGTCAAAGACAAAACACTTCCGATTTGGAAAGAAATTCCTGATACACTCTCTAGTCATATTGGAATTTTGAATTCTGGAGTTCTGACCTGCCAATTCAGAAAAGGAGCAATTATTGAAAGCAAAGTCTTCAGGAAAGACACGTATCAATTTTCCCCCCAGAGTTCTTTGCATCATTGCCCTCTTTCTTGGCGTTGTCAGGCTGGTGAATGTGTGTTTTATTTCTCTGTTTTGAATTTCTCATCCATTTAAACCATACACCAGTGTAGCAGGATGTCTTTTAAAGCTAGTGTTAGATTGTGTGAGTCTCGGAGCGACTATTTCAGATGTGTGCAGCTTATGGAAAGAACATGAAATGCTGCGCCTGGGTGGCTGGCTTCTTTGCACATAGGAGGCTGCAACATTGGATTCCACATTCATTTCCCTAGACCTGGTGACCTAGGTACAATCTACTCCAGTTCAAGTACAGAGCAACTGTGTGCTTGGAAGACACCCAGATACACGCTGCTTGAAGGGAAAAGTATTGCACTTTTGATTTCTATCTCCTTGAGTGAGAAGATACATCTTGGGATGAGTTCATCCCTGTGTAGGTTAATTCTCTTCTGAGTGTCAGCAGAGCCCAGATCATTATTGGAATAGCAGGGGTTGCAGTAGACATTCTCACTGCCTTTATCTTTGCTCAAAGCAAAGTCATTCTGTCTTGGTGAGACTGGGCAACAAACAACCAAAATCAAATTATCTTAGTGAGTGTAGGTGGGCCTTCTAATTTTAATGGCACTTCTGAATGAGAATGACCTAAAAAGAATAAAATGCACTGGAAAAGATCAAGAAACATAGCTTTGAACAAATTTAGCAAACTTAAATTCCAATTTCAGCACCACAGCTTACTTTGGTGACCGTGGGAAAGACAACTATGCATTCTGAGTCTGATATATATTTAGGCAAGGGCACTAGTAGACATATGCTAGTGTCTTCTAGATGAAAGTAAGCAATTAATTTTGGGTATTAGAAATATCTGCCTAGTGACCTTGAAGATAATCTATCCTAGTTTTCTCCTTGTTATACAGAGAGAGTAGTACAAATAGAATGTATATGATAGTTATTCTTACAGGTATGAAGTAGAAAATAGAAATAAACTATTGGTACCCATCTGTAGGACTTGCATAATCATAATTCTTAATCTTTATTGTCTATCATTTTAAAAGAAGATCAGACACATCATTCAAAATTTAAAAGTAATCCAAAGTGTCCTATCCATAAGACACCCACATTTCTTCTTCAGGAACTATGTTAACAATTTATGCTGTGGCCTTACAAAATACTTTTGTTTTTTATGTAGATAAGAAACATTTTATGTACTCACCCATCCTCTCTCCTCTACATATTCTACCATATACCTTTTCTCACTTAAAAAATTCCCATGAGTAAATTAAAGGCTTATGTATTCTTTATTATGGTTACATAGTTTTCTGATGCGTGACATTACCACAATTTCTTTAACCTTTATTGATGGACATTCAGGAATATTTTAGTCTTTCTATTTTTCCCTCAGCACATTATAATGAATAACCAACCTCATACTTAAATTGTTTGGTACATTTGGCATTTGAACTGCAAGTTAATATTCTAGTTCCTGGTTTATAGAGACTTCTAAGTTTAATTATGCAGCATATCCTATAATTTTTATTTTGGGCATATAATGTCGATAATGATGACAAAAGAATCAGTGTCTTTGAGTTGTGTTGGAGAGTACTGAATATCTCATAGACTGTCAAAAGAACAAACAAATATGTCTTGGGAAAATGGCAGCTAGAATAGAGTGCTTCTTGGAGGCAAGGATGGTGAAGTTTCGGTTATCATTCATATTTAGGACATTTTGCTGGGAGAGGCTATTCCTTGGAAAGGTCAGTGAAAGAGAGGAAGACCCCCAAAAGATGACTCTATAAGGTGTTAAACATATTTCCTTGCCCATCTCACTTTAATTTTCTGCCTTGTTGTGAGCATGTGTGAATGATGGGAAGGAAAGACAACAGTGAATCAGAGGTACCCTGTGGTCTTCAAACTCACACAAGTACCAAGGACAGTCCTGAATGAATTTCTCATCTCCCTAAGGAGAATTATGGTGTTGAATGAGAGAACTCATTTTAGCATTAAGTTTGGAAAAGGAATGTTCCATAGGATGAAAAATGTAGGTGGCTTCTAGGAATTCTTCCAATGTGCTTTTTCATGAAAGATCTTTAAAAGGCTAAATTCATGCCTTGTGAAATCTTCAGGTAGGAGGCGTTGCTGGTTGGGAGAGAAATTATAATTTACAATAAATTTTAGGTAACCATTGTAGTCCTCATTCTTAATTAAGGATTGAAGAAGTAGAAAGTAATAGTTTTTCTAATTTTGGAATTGGGAAGAGTGTTAATAAGTATGAGTGATGACTGCCTTAAAGAGTGTGGAAATTGGAATATTTACCTACTCACTAGCTGGTTGAACTTAGACATTTAAACCTAGAAACATTAAGCATTGAGTTATGTTTCAGCTACTGTGCAAAGTATTTTATTACCTTATTTTGTCCTCAGAATCCTAAGAGGTATATTAGTGCTTAAATTCTAAAGCATTTGGTTTGTGGAAGGCTTATTTAAATCTGGAGCAGAGACCTAATGTCATTTTTATTCTTGATGTAAGTACACAGTTTTCTTTCTGACCCTAAACCTGCCATGTGGCTATGCTTATCAAGTTTGGGCAGGCTTCCGTAGTCCTCTCAGAGTGCCCTTGAGACTAGATTTAAGCCCAAGGCATGAAGACCTCCTAGGAACTCTGGGTGTGTTCTTAACGATTTAAGATAACTACTCATAGGCCTGGAAACTCTATGAACATAGAGAAATGATGTTAATTATAGAACAGAGTTCAGGTCTTTTATTCATAGGGTCACTTGATGGCACTTAATCACTGCTAAGTGAGATTAGTGTTGTTATATTTTGGAGAAATATTCTACATCACTCTTTGTCAATTTGCTATACTGAGGTAATCTGGGTTTGCTGCGATGCTGAACTTTGTGCCATTGAGGTGCCAAAGACCATAGTGGTTTCTCAATGTGGATAGTGTTTGGTGGAGTTCCCAAGGAGTGGCATCCATTTCCTGAACTACATGCCTCTGGAAACTATGAACTTGGAGAAATGATGATAGTTAGAGAAAGGCATTGGGTCTTTTGTTCATAGAGTTTGCTTTGAATTCTGCTCGACTCAACTGCAATCAACAACAAAAACTACCATCTTCAGGAAAAACATCTGTCCATTTTTATTCCCAAAGATCTTTGCATCATTGCACTCTTTGTTTCTAAATCTTCTTTAACCAAGTTATGAAAATCAACTTTGAACCAATCCAGGCTAGGTTAGGTTTTGATCTGATAGGCATAAGAGTTGCTTGAATTGAGTCAACTCAATGACACCAAGCAAAACCAAGCAAATTATGCTGAAATTTGATCCAATATCTGTTTTTCAACTTTCTCAAGGAGCTAAAACTCTAGCCACTGGATATTTCCAGGTATTAATGACCCACTAAAACACTTTCTTCTCTCAATTGCCATTCTCCTAGGTCTTAATCCAGTCTCTCTGACTTTAAGTGTTCAAAGACAACTGAACAATCGAACTGACTTTAAGTGTTCATTAACAATTGAAATGTTTCTATTCAACTATTCACCAATCAGCCATGCACAGATACCTCGGACCAGCTTCAAGGTGTTCTCCAGGTACTCATCTTCAGTGATACAGCTGTCACCTAACTTCAACTCCAGGCTGAAATCCCGAATAGTCCATACAAAGTCTGGAAAGAAGCTCACAAATTCAGAGAAACCAACCTCTTCATCAAATGTGGAGGATGATTTTGCTTTGATTAGCTCTGTTAGTTCAGTCACATAGCTGATATTTCAGATAAGAAAGGAGACACACTTTATACCACAATTTCCAGACATCATTTATAAATAATTTTTGAAAATATACCATTTTGTCATGTTCCCTCCTCCTCACTCATGACAATTGAGTCACAGAAAAGGAGGCATATGTATGTTGTTATTCCCAAAAGTTCGGTAAACATGGTAGATGGGTTCCTGAAAGGATACTGTAGCTGTTCCAAAGCTTGGTGGTTGATGGTGCACATGCTGTTGTAGACAAAGGTGCTGCTCAAAAGCACGGCCAGCACAAAGATCCATGAGTCATTCTTAAGGTCACCCTAGAAGTACATTAGAGTGAGATGATTAAAACTAGTTTTCATCCATTCAGCCTGATCATTCATTGCTTCAAGTCTCTGAAAATTGCATCGAAGTACCAAGAAGCCAAAACAAGGGGAAGAATTGCTGCAGTAAAAGAGCTGAACAAGAGATTTCAATTGGCAGCAGAGAAGACAAAGCAAAGTATTAAAATGGAATGTGGAAAGAGTTGAAGTCAGAGAATAAAAAATAAAGAACTTACTCAGCATTTCTCAAGGTGAAAGAATGGAAAAACAAAATCAAGCTTTGAGTTTAAATACTGAGAGATGTCATGGGGAAAATGTTGAATGATCCAGAAAGCATTGTAATATGGTGGATACAGTATCACTCTACCGAAAGATTTAGTTGACACGTAAAAATTTCATGAAGTACCTTATGAACAAGAACCAGTGGTAACAAAAGAAGTAGTTCAACCTGTGATGAAAACCACAGGCAAAAAATAAGACCCTGAGAATAGATGGAATACCTATTTACATGCTTCAGCTAACAGGCGTAACCGTGGATGTGCTCACCAGTTTATGTAAGGAAATTTGGAGGACAGCTGCCTGGAAAACTGAGTTGAAGAGTTAAGTATTTCTTTTCATCACCAAGTAAGATGGTCTAACAGAATGTGTAAATTATTGAATGATACCATTAATATTACAAGCAAGCAAAATATTGTTGAAGATCAAGCAAATGCAAGCAGGAACAATACATTGTTAGAAAATAGAAGTTCAAGGTGGATATAGAACAGGCTGTGTCACCATGGATATCACTGCTGATGTCAAATGAATCCTGGCTGAAAGTAGAGCATATCAGAAAAGTACCTATTTGTTTTGTTGACTATGCAAAGGCATTTCACTGTGTGGATCACAACATACTATGGCTAATGTTGAGAAGAATAGAAATTCAAGGACTCTTAATTGTATTCATACGAAATCGATAGCTAGATCAAGAAAATATCATCTGAACTAAACAAGACAAAACTGCATAGTTTCAAAATCAGAAGGGATATGCATCAAGGTTGTATCCATTCTTTATACCTGTTCAGTCTGTGTTCTGAGTAAATAATTAGTGAAGGTGTATTCTATGAAGAAGAATATGGCATTAGGATCAGAAGAAGTTTCATCAACAGCCTGCACTTTGTAGATGACAAAATCTTGCTTGCTGAAACTGGGGAGCACCTGAAGTGTTTGATACAGATAAAAACTATATCCTTCAATATATGTTCAAGAAAACAAATCTTTACCACTGGGGCAATTGGCAACATCATGATAGATGGAGAAGGATTGAAATTGCCAATTATTTCATCTTACCTGGATCCACAAACAACACAGTTAGAACCAGCACTCAGGAGACAAGGAGATGTATGTATTACTTTGTGCAAACCCACTTTTTTTTCTATAATTATATTTTATTAATTTTCATAAACATTTACAGAGATTTTGGGCTT